AATTGTTTTCTCTAGGCAGTTATAAATTTTGTGTAAAGAAAAATTAAGGCTGTTGTTTCTGATGAGTATTACCGTCAGATTTCCTTCATTTAGCATAATTGCTTTCTAGATAACATCACTGGAGCAGTTTCAGAACAGAACGTGCAGCATTTGCTTGGTTGCTTGTACACGCTTCGACTCCTTTTTCCGTTGATCAGCGAAGAACTGAACAGCAACAACGCTTGTTTGTGCGCAGCTGGGCGTTCAGCAATGTCCCCTAGGTCAGAGGAAGAGGTTCAACTTACAGAAGAGATGCTGTTCAAAGTGAAAGAAAATTTTAATGTTTTTACAATGGTTTTAATCTTTTTTCTTCAGGCTTATGAGATCGCGCTGTTTTCACTTAGTTGCAACAACAGTAGTCTCGTCACTGCAGGACTCGAAGCGCTGGTGCAGCTATTACAATATGTGCCTAAGCGACTGTCGCATATGCTTACATCATCAGGTGGCGTGAAACGGTCAACATTTTTCGATCGCTCTCCAGTGGAGAAGCAGTACAGTCCGCCAGAGGATTTATGTACTTTTTTATTTCTGGAATTTATTTCGTTTACCTTTTATATTGTTTTGCAGCCGCTGATGATCCACCAAAAGACTCCTTAACTGAGAACATCCCTGATATCGTATCTTCTCTATATGATGACTTGAAAGGCACCGAAGATCCGGCTGCCGTAGGGATATTTTTTGAATCACAACGCTGTGAATCTAACTCTGCGTTATCACAGGAGTTACCTCATGTATCTCTACCAGATTAACACCTCTAGTCGCAGCGCAGTTTGCATTTGTGCTTTTAGTCTAGTCTTGACATCACAGAGTTCACTAAAGATCACCAGTATGAGTCAAGCTGTGGCCTTGATTATCCTGCTGCTCTTTTGTACAGCAAATCACTTCATTTACCTTTAAGTGGACAACTTCAAACCGGTAAGTTGATTCGCTTCACTCAATTTATCTTCACTTCACGATGGTTATTAAGAAGACACTTCAAATGACTTTGCTGATCGAAGTGAACTGTTGTCGCCTCAATGTTTTGGCGATGGTCGTCTTCAGGTGTCTTATTCATCGGATATAGGTAAATAAAGTTTTATTTGACGTTTTTATTAAATTTCCGTCATACTCCATGAAATGTAACATGAGTGGCATGAATACCAGTTCAGCCCGAACCCTCTCTCCGGGCTTAGAAAGTTGCACTCTGCTTCTTAAAATCCTAGCGGTGTCGCCTTCTGCTGTTCATCCATCTGGTCGCCTCAGTAATTGTCTTTAGTAGGCGCTGATGGTCTCTTTTTAATGCTCAGAAGGCATCGATCACCACATTTTTTATTGTCATTATCTTGTTCCTGTAGTTTCTATCACAGAAGTTTTTGATGAATTGCGGTTTACAAAGTCAAAGTCTGACCCGTCTGCCTCCGCGACCCGAAAAGATAAACAGTCATCGAATTTGGCTGATTTACTGTTTGAATAGCTGGCTGAAACTGTAGTTTTAATAGCTCTTTTTAAAGGTAATGTTTAAGAAATTTGATTAAAAGAAAAGGAACAGTGTACGGTTATTGTTTATCACACAGATTTTAGTAATTGCGAATGCTTTTTTTATTTTCGAAGGCCTCTGACGTTTAGAACTGACCGAGAAACGAAACTGCCCGGACATTTGTTGCTAGTTGTCATGCCTTTGAAAACTCTCATAAGTTGGCAGCGTGGGATCGATCGATTAGCGTGATATAATGATTAAAGCCTCCTTATAGGTTGCCTCTCTATCAAAAGACTTCATCTGATCTATTCTCGAATGCTAATATGTCATTATCTTAAATTAAATTACGTAAGGTTTTTTCACTCGCTTATGTACCCTGTTTATTTTGTCCTTTACCGTAACTATATGGTTTTTTGTCGATGATCGAACTGTGACAACATAAGTGTACATTTTTTTGGTATGTTTTATTTTGGGGTTTCCGCGATGGAATCGGAAATAGATTTAATTTATAGTCCTCCTCTCTACGACATTTCCGTGCTGTTTAAGAATAAATGCCGAATAATCTCAATGAGTATGACAGGTCCAAATACTGGGCGACATTGTGCCCATAAGCCTTAATGGAAGCATAATCACCGGCTGTTCATGTCGGTCTTTGTCACACCGTCTACTTTTTGAAGGTAGGCCAAGTTGCCGTTTATATAATATTATCATATCGTTTCTATTGTATCTTATTTTTTTTAAATCATCGAAATTGGTAGCAGTTTGTAAAATCTGTTTTTTCTGTTTGTAGTCTTGCACATGCTACTGAATTTAACTATTCGTATCCTTATAGGCTTATTCGCTGGCAGCGATTCTGTGTTAGAATTTGGCTGCCGAATGGTGTGTACAAAGTTTTTGCTGTCACTAGATTCAAATGATGTGATTCCTGACAAAGATGTTCGCGTCAGCCATAAGATATTGGCAATCAACGTTGTACAGTTAATGCTACCCCTATTGCCATCCCTGTTTTGTTTACCTTTATCTGTGAAAGGTAAGAATGGCGATGTTGCTGCTTTTATGCTAACATTAATCGAACTGTGGATTAGAAGGGTGCAAGCTGCTGGTGTCTGATATAATGCAGTTGAAAAGTCACAGTGATCCTCATGTTCGCGGCTGCTTGGCGATATTGCTGGGAATGCATTTGAAATACACGCTAGAACGGAGCAGCCAATTTGAAAGTAATTATTTTCTGTTTATGTTTGAGTCGTTTCTGTGAAAAGGGAATATTCTCTAATGCGTGTATCGTATTTTTAATAGCCATTTCCTTTGTTTTTTTAATTCTTGCATAACATCTCTTTGTCCAACAGGTATTGTAAAATCTAGGCATGGAAATGGTAATTCAGATTGAGTTCGAATAATCATATAGCGCCATTGTTTCCCGTTTTTCCACTTCACCAGGAAATTCGCTAACCGTGTTTCGATACAACCAGCCAAAATCGGATAGGAAGCATGTAATGGTTCTCTGGCGTAATCATGCCAAAGCGCGTGATAGGTACGACCGTGCTATCTGATAGGTGCAGTTCACCGCTTGTGATTCACCTTGGTCCAGCTAACTGATCATTATAAAATAACACAAGCTGTAAGTACTAAATTAAAATGAAATGACAGTTAGAAGCTGTCATCTTTCGGACAAAAGGAGTAGTGATAACACCTGAAAACCCAGGTTAATGGCAATTTCTAAACTATGGCATTTACGCGGTGAACCTGTCGAACGGATTATACTATTTAAAATTGGCAAGTACCTCAAGTGCAGATTTAGTTCAGTGAAAAATAAGTTGACTCTAGATGCTAAAACAGTAAGAGACTCACCCGAGAAACAAGTGAACAATATGACGCGGAAGGGTTCATCCAGCTACGCGTTCATTGTGAAATATTCTTGTCAGGCTATATTGGAATGATTAAAATCGGAGAAACCAAAAATTGTTTATTCAGCAGAATATATTAATGAGCGACCGGGTATCACGGCGTTTTACACCGCTACTTTGCCTCTGGATGCTTAGTCGATGATGGATGATATTTTTGTCGTTATAGTGCATAAATACATCTCGTGGTTTTAATTGCTAGAGATATGTTTGATTAGTTCTTGTAAAGTATTTTCTTTTCAGAGCTGATGATTGTTACATGTTTTCGCGTAGCTAAAATCTGTTTTATTGGCCTCTCAGGCGTATAGGAAAACTCTAGGGGCATTGCAATGCTTATTTATCGCGGTTTCGGACGTGTTTGTTAGTAATATGATATTACGTTATAATTTTTGAGTTATGAGGAATAGCGACTACTGAGAATATGAGGGTAAGCGACGAGAAACAATTCTATGGTCAATGAAGTGAAGCTGCATATCGCGAATGCCAAACGTCAGTCACTTAAATGGTGCCATTTCCTTCTGCGAGCATGGGCTGAGTGCAGTGCACCCTGATATCTCGTTTCATTACCATAACTGGTTTATGGCGAAATTGCTAAACTGGAACAGACATGTAAATGCCACAGGTTTATCATGAGAAATAATGAAGTAATGATGTTTAATGAATGCCATTTTTTCTACTCATATGCACTGGTAAAAATATTACTGCACGGTCGCGATTATTGAAAAGTCTCGATTGTTTTTAGTTGCCGAGGTTCGTCATGCAGAGTGTTTCGACATATTAAACTCGGTGTTGCAAGATTCATCGAGTATCGCCATTCGCAGTGCCTTAATTGGTCTCAGAATGTCTTTACGCGGTCTGTTGAAGGTTCGACTGGACAGCACGCTTGACCTTTTATTACATGTGATCATGCTAAGCCGCAGCTCCTACAGTCTTGTCAAGGTCTCTGCCATTAAACTTCAAAACATTCCGTTTATTAACCGTTTTACTTTGCTTTAAAGGTCGCTTTGGTGGAAATGTTCGAGCAACTCGACTTCATACAGCTGAACGCTTCGCCAGCAGTCATTGCGGTAAATTTCATTCTAAACGTGTGTCTTGGAACGTAAGAACAAATTGGTTTCAGAATTGTTTGTTATAAACAAATGACCACTTTTGTTGTAAAATCATCTTGTTCCATTATTTTAGCGGTTACTGAACTGTTATATTTTATCTCTTGTAATTTTAGGAAGGAGTGTAGATCTGTTGTAACGCATTTTACTGATAACTTCATTTTACTGAACGATCGAGCATGTTTCGTAGGCAAGGAATCACTTCTGTATTTATCTGTTGTGCAACTCTCTGTTGAAGTTCTTCATCATAGAAGTTCATCTTCCCCTACATGTGCTTGCTCTCTGATGCAGGAGAGGCTCCACCGGAGAAATGGTGGCTACGTCCGAGCTCACTGGGGAAAGGTCTGAGGGGAGAATCCTCACAGAACGGTTACCGACAACTCTGTTTAGCTGAGATAAAAGGAAAATATTCTACCTTTCAAGCATGAACAGTATCTAGAGCCCCCTGCCAGGATGAAATGAAGGGAAAGATCGTAGCAAAAATCAGCTGCTGATCCGTGGCTCCTAGCTCGAGTGATCTAAGGATACTGGTTGTGCAAGAAAGTGCTAAGAATCTCAAGTCAAGGCGTCAAGGCCGCTCTCTGAAAATCTGACGTATTTCCATATTGCCATTTGCAAATGTCGAATGCTAAGCGGGGAGCCGCAGATCTGTCAGTTAACCGTGCCAACGAATATTTTGGGACTTAGAGAGGCAAGAAGAAAATGCCCTATTAATATCAAAGTGTCAAAACGCAAAAAGTAAGGGTCAACCATAAAGTTGGGAGCTAATAGTCCAAGAAGCATATGTGGTACTGGCTTCTTCATATCCAAACAATGGGCACGTGCAAGAAATGAATTCGTCGTGAATTGCATTTATTTCTTTTTGCCAGATGTTCAATTTTCGCTAGAGCTTTGGAACCAGATAATTCTACAAGCCTTTGCTCAGCAGCTGCTTTAGAAGATTAAGAAGTAGAGCAATTTTTCGAACAGCTAGCAAATGCGGCAACAGGTCCGAGTAAGAGCAATCTTCATCAGCGATTCTTTCATTCATTGGTACAAACCTCATCGATGAAAAATTTGTGCCTTTTCTCTACGTGAAGAAGCATCATGGAAGGCGAAAATCTGAGAAATTGCAGTAGATATATAGAGTTCCATTTGATGAACAGTTGTAAAAATGGAAGCGGCTGTAAACATGCGATGTGCGTTAAATGGATTTTAAGTGATGAGCAGGGACTTTCACAAGTCTTGTACATCTTTCAGAATTGTATGTCGGCTCAGCATGGACATCTAGCACCACCGTATCTTTAAAACGGCGTTTACTGCAGATTTAAAAATCGCAAAACATCTGTTAATCGCATTTAAAATAAAGTGGCGCGCTGGCGTTTTGCCTGAAGTATCTTCCGTAGAAATTCTGAGAAATTTATGGCGTACGGTACTGTGTGAATATCAAATGGGTGAAGGAGTGTGGTTAAAGATGTATTTGACGGAAATGAGATTTGAATTTATTTGGGCAGTAATATAAATCTTTTTTCAAAAAGGACGAGATCTTGAAAGAATTTCTATGAATTTCGTGGTGTGTGGCTACAAAGGCGGCGGTTACAAATGAAAGATCTCGATCACTTTTAAAAGTAGTTGCTGCAGTACACTGTCAAAGAGAGAAGATGCAGCAAAATGCAGGAAAGATGCCAATATGCTACTAACGCTATAGAATGAGGTTGGAGAAACGATGGCATAAAAAGATGGTCTCAAAGAGATGGAAAAGAGTTGCACACCGTTCTGAATATTATATTATTGTTTCATATTATTGAAACCGAATATTAACAATGTTACCCAAGCTGCCCTCTGATATGTCTGAAACCTTACTGATCGAACTAAATGGACGATGAAAAAGCTAAGTTCGTATTTGAACCTACGCTAAAACGTTACGACTACAAGCTCCCTAGTATGGTAGGAAATAATTCAAGATGCGTCTTGAAATGGCCGAGGCGACAGCACAACCAATGCTGCCCCACAGTAAAGTTCACGAACAAGATATGAAAATTTAATATTTAAGACATACGCTTGTTATCAGATGTACATAAATTTATACTAAACTGCTTAATGAAGTAATTAGGCTGACAACAGCCAGCTGAGCATGTCAGATTACGCCGAAAATTTTTGTCACTCGACAAAATCCAAATATTGGAATAGAATTATCAACAGTATAAGCTCCATATCTTCCTGATCTTCGACGACTGTAAAAAGACATGGTACAGTCTTCCGGCCATTAGAAGAGCGCGGAACTGAACAGTACTGCAGCCGCAACCTGCGGTTTGAAAATACAGTCGCTTGAAGATCTGATCGGAATCTAAGTTTGTAAGATTCTTTGTTAAAGGGATGTTTTATCGCCCCAGCTGTTCTTCTGTATCATATCCGACTTCTGGAACAAAATATGGAGTTATTAAGACAGTAGCTGACTCATATCTGATTTACTGGTGACATTATTTTTAAAAACGAAAGCAATAGAAATTGAATCCACGTCAGATGGATTAATGAGTAAACCAGCTGAAATAATGAGAAGAAGGTGAAGATGGTAGTAAAGGATTCATTTGGTTAAGAAATACGTCTCATGAACAGTTAATAGACTTGAGCCATTTTTTCGAGTTAGAACTCACTGCAAGGCCTCGGACGCATATATGTACAGAAATCTACATCATAAAATTGTTGATTGCGCCTAGAATATTTAAATTCAGAGCATTTGAACACGTATGATGGTACAGTGTTGTCAACAACTATACACGCTACGAAACTTGAGCACTGATGAACAAACGTGATGCACTGATGCACTGTTAAGAGTGCATCAGCGGGCTAAGGAATGGACACTAACAGATTTCTTTAGGAACTAGTGCAGGGAAGAATTAAGGTCAAATTTGTATTCGGAATACCGAATTTTATCATTTTAAAGCCGATTACGCTATCTTCCATCTGGGCAATGAGATGAACAAACATTAAGATCAGCTTGGGCTTCAGTCGAATGATCCGCTACAACCACTTGCGAGTGTTTATAACGTTGAAAACTTACCGCGTGATGGTTGTCACCGCTGCCGATCTCACCCTTTGGACTCGCCCTCTCTTTTGAGCTAATTCACCATCTCTGTGAACTTCAAGAAACGATCGCCAGAAGTAGACTACTCGGACAGAGTAACGGTCCCGCGTTCAGACAGTGAACCTGGAGTAGTT